TTTTTTTTAATTTAATTCAAAATTTAAAAATTTATTTTATTAAATATTGATATTTATATTAAAAAATTAATTTTATATTTATATAATTAATTTTTAAATTTTAAATTAAAACTTTAATTTTTCAATTTACATTAAGGCCTTAAATTTTTTAAAAAAATTGAAAGCACTAATCTCATATAAATAACAATTAAAACTTTTTTCTTATATAAAATTTTTATTAAGTACTTTTATTTGATAAAAAAATTTAATTATTATTTATACAAGGATTATTTTATGTGTCTTAAGAACTCATGATAAGAGTGTAATAAACATATTTTTTAAAATTAATTTTTATTAAAAGTATAAATATTAATTTTGATTTAATTAATTAAAATTATTTACATATTAGTAATATTAAAATATATGTTAATTTTTATAATTTTTAATATAAATTAATTTAAAAAATATATCTATTATATTTTAACATGTATCTTCAAGATACAAGCCTTTTATATAACATATTAAATTTTTATTTAAAATTTGAAAAATTAAAATAAATTTATTAAAAATAAACTAAGGAAGGAAGGAAAAGATTTTGTAACGATTCAATAGGAAAGAAACAAAATAAAATGACATAAAAATAATGGGTTAGATGTAGTACTATAAATATAAATAGACGTACTGTTTTTTTTTTTTTTTTAAACTTTTAGACATGGGCGGATTCGAAACCCGACGGGTAGGGGGAGGTAGGGGGAAATGCACTTTGCAATGGCAAGTGCCATTGGGCCTCCAGGCCTAGTGCAAAAAGAGTTAGCTGTTTATCCCTAAAAGAACAAAAAAAAAAAAAATCTGGCCTTCCATTTAAAAATATATATTTTACGCAAAGAACTTAAGTAGTTCATGATCATCTTCTTCTTCTGTTAGAAAAGGAGTAATCACAGCATCCTCCTTAAAAAATTTTGCAATTATAAACATAAACTTGTAATTAGAACTAGCAAAAATTCATCCGACCGGTCAACCTAATCCTAATCCTAATCCGACCTTTTAAAAATAAATTAGAATCTATATATCTCAACTCGCAACTCATAAATAACTTATATTATCAACTCGTACGAGTTACGGGTCGGATTAGGATCAACCCGTGAGTTGATGGGTTGACCTATTTTTTTTTTTATTATTATTTTTTAAAAATATTATACTTATTATTCTTAATTAATTTTTTATTATTAATTCTTTCCATTAATTCATACTCAATAATTTCTAGAGAAAGACAAAAAAAATTATAATGAGTCTGATCTAATTATCCAAGTGTCATTTTTTTTTTTGTATTAACAATTACCCAAATATCATGAATGAAATAATAATGTAATTAAAAATATTAAAAGATGTATTGTTAGGATATAAACATAATAACTTAGTGAAAAATGTTCTTAGAAGAGCAATTT